ATACACTCACCTGACATTCGAGTGTTTGCTGGCCATCCTATTAATTCGACTTTGTCTGTGCGATCCTTCATCCGCCGAATTCCGCGACGACCTCCTCTGTGTATGGGTATCACTACTCCCATGTGTGTGTGTGTGGGTGTGTGTGGGTGTGTGCGGGTGTGTATCCGTCCCCGAACGCATAGGTATACCAAGTGATGCTTTGTTCGGCCCCAGTGTATCTACCCCTAAACCCTCTCTATCAGCCTTAGCGTGTGTGAACGTAAAAGCGTATCCCACTCGCGACGAGCCATGCATGTCCTGTCCCTTTGCGACACCCACAGTCCTAGTATCTGTGGCATTTGTATCCGATGTCGTACGCTTTAGTGGGTCTTCTCGTGCATACACATAGTCTGAGTATGACGCGGTGCTAGTCTGCCCCACGGTGTGTACACGGCCAGGCCCATAGGACATCTCGGGTGTGAGCGTTATTTTCTCATGTGACGATTTAAGCCCTCCGGGCCCTTCCTGGTGCACGTGGATGGGCTTATCACTCAGTGGTAAGGGACTCCGTGGCCCAATCTTTTGGCCAGCTGTGTCTCTGACAATCGTCGTCCCCACAAGACTGTTCACGCACGGGTCGTCCTTGGCCTCGTTGCCGGCATTCCGGTGCCAGTCCTCTCCGCCAATCACATTCGTACCCGGGTGCGAATCGCGCACCCCTCCGCCAATCACATCGCCTGCACAGCGCGGCTCTGAGCCAATCGGATCGTCTCGTTGCGCACTCGCCCCACTCTCTGGGCAAATCAGTTCACCGATTAGGCCGGAAGTATCCGCCGGTGCCTGTACATCGGAGGCCATCTGTATGCGCATACCTTCCAACGAGCAGCTGTGCGTCTGTGACTCTCCTTGGATGCTTGATTGTACATCAGTGTGCATATCCGTATCATCAGACAAGTGTTTGTGTCTATCCTTCCCCATATTATTAGGCATACGTTTGTGTATATGATCCTGTTCCATACTATTAGACATTTGTTTGTGTATATGCTCCCGTCCTGTACTATGAGACGTATGTATATGTGTATTCTCTAGTCCGTGTGTATGTGTGGCTGCAGCGGTTGCGATGTGTGTTTGAGCCTTCCCAGTGTCGTGCATGTGGGCTTCTGCATACACTCTTGCGCGCTCATCCCGATCTCCACCCGATTCTGAACCAGGGGTTTTCGCGCCTGAACCAGGTTTATCTAGCCCGCCATTGTCAATACTTTGAATAGGAGAAACCTGATCGCCTGTTTTGAACCCATTTGCACCGTTGTCAGGGACTTCCGATCTCTCTTTCGATTCCAACTCGTCTTGGTTGGGGCTTGGGATTGGTGTACGTAGATGTTCAGTAAGAGATTGCTTCAGCTCAACCCTATAGTTGTGTATTGTGGAATCAAAATCGGGTTCCGAAAACAAAAAATTAATGAGCTATGTTTAGTATTACTATGTAGTGTATACACATGTGGTCTATAGATTATACGGACGATATACATCAAAATAGTATGCATAGGAATGACAATACATACAAGTAAGCCGTAAGTATAGTTGGTGAGTAAATAACACAACCCCCAATACATCGGAGATATACAATATATATATATATATACATGTGTGTGTGTGTGTGTGTTTGTGTGTGTGTGTGTGTGTGTGTGTGTGTGTGTAGTGTAGTGTGTGTGTGTG